AACAGGAAGCTTTCATGAGGTTACGTATGACTGAGAGAGGCGGCGGGAAGAAAGAGGAATGCACCAACGCAATGGAACACGATATTCTCCTTAAACAGTCGATCTCGACTGTACTGATAGACCAAGGAGGTGCTAATTCGCTAGACACCCGGACGGACAATTTCAGCAGGCCACAGCTCCATAATATTTAAAAACGTGGCAGATTTAGATGGTGCACGAAAGTGCCTTTGTTCAGCCGAAATGAAGGGATGCACTGCAAATGCTGAAATATCATTTGGCCGTTGCCCCTGAACACGATTCATTTTGGCGTCTAGTATGAGGCAGGGTAAAACAAAGTGATCGTATTCATTTGTTTGCCGCGTACCAATCGAAACGAGTGGAACAAAACACGTGATAAACTGAATCACTCGTAACAGCCGTTGAAAGTTGTAAAATACTGTGGTTGAAACTATGATTTTTGGCCCCATTTTGCTCCTCTGTTCATCTACTGATACCCGGTGTATTTTGCGTTTTTCTGTAAACAAAACGTAAATTTGAATATAGGCGTATGAATGCATTAAGTAGGGCATTACGTGAACTCTGAAGCCGACGGCGTGAACGGTCTTCGTTTTAGAAATTCTGAAGCCACCGTGTACGAGGGCTCGTATTGACTTTCGTAGTACATATCCGGTACCAATGTTGGCAAGACACCGTGTATGTCATCGACTATCGAATAGCTGATTTGCAGGTTTCGATCGATAATGTAGTTGATTCTAAAGCATGAGCTAAGAGTTCAGACCAAAAGAAACAATACGCAAGATTTACTCGAAATCATCGTCGTCTTCCCCTAATGGACTGAAGAGCGCTTCGGCCACTTTCAGCCATCCCATGTAGCAAATGAACTGGAGCATCGTGAACAGGGGGAACTTTGAATACTCTCTGCTGCTTTCACTGTTGATGACTTGTCGTGAAAATAAACAGCTGATGAAAAACGTGTACACCGCGATCGTTACCACCTGCAAATTGAAGCGTCACAGTATTACCTTCCAAAAGGGCATCAATGCAACTTTAAAATTAGACCAAGGGCAAAAGTTCCTTTGCATACGATGGCTGTCGCTACTCAAAGTACCATGCATAAAACAGGGGAGTTGCCAGAGTCTCTTTTGAATGATGATGGGATGAAACATGGTGGAACGCCCTTGCTATAGACTCGTTTAACAGCACTATATGCTGAAAGCAGTGCAGTGTTTTATGGGTCCACATGAATCACCTATAACCGAAATCTATCGTTGCCTTGAATAAGAGATATGAGGTATTGCAGAAACGCCAGCGTCTGTTTGTCATTCGATAAACCACTAAATTGTAAATGCATAGGAGGTTTTTGTGCAGTTTCAGATTGTCCTGTGGACACAGTACGGTAGTTTTGAACCATTTGCGAACAGGAAATACTTCCCCAGTATAACTCACGTGAAATTTGCTAGGCTAAGAATGTACTTTCTTTAGACCCTATAAATATTCAAATATCTTCATAGGCAGCAGTCTTCGTGACGCAAAACTTCTCCGAATTTCGATTTCACGCTATTGCGCCTTGCTGCTAAATGTCTTATTTTAGAGAAGTTATGCGCTATTTGACATACAGGGGCGCAAAAGCAAATGTTTATGCTTATGCGGTGTCATAAAAGGATACCAGCTCGAGGAGTATCTGAAACATCGTTCGTGAGGAGCATGAGGGAGCTCTAACGAACCGTTCTCATGCGAAAAGCATCTGGTGCTGCAGGTGCTCAAATGCCATGAAATAATGACATGCCTAAATGACTCCTTTTGCTCGGAACAAAGGGACAGCAAGCTACCGTGAAAACTGGTCGTGGAGGAGTTATGAGTCATGTCTTTAGATTTTAAATAATTTACTAACAGAACACTTGTGGACCTTACGAAGCGTGGCTCAAGCATTTCTACGCCTGCAATAGCTACTTTCCACCCTGACCTGGCACAAACATGTCTACATACAGGAATCTAGTCAAAAGTCAACTTCGGCATGGTTTACTGAATAACAGAGAATCCACAGGTTTGCTGACAGTATAAAGTAAACATTGTCAGAGAATGTGGGGCATAGATCACGTTTCTTTGATCGCTCGTTCGCTGATGTTTCTTCAAGTGGCAATATTCTTTGTTCCGCTCAGATCGATAGTGTGGCTTATCGTGAGCCTGTGCTGCAATTGTTGATATCCTGAGTTTATTGAGTTTTCCCTGTTGTTCACCGCTAATTTGGTAGTTCTTCTATTGTCATTCAAAATGACGTCACTCTCTCTGATAGATGTAGTAAGAAATAATCAGAACAACCATCTGCTGTAGTTCGTCGGGTCAATCTTTTATGGGATTCGGATATTTGACTCTAAATTGGGCTATCTCATTTTTCATGACAACCAAAACTGACAACCAACTCTATAATATTTTCATTTTCCATATCAACTAAAAAGAGTACTCATTTCTTGAGAAGAAAAAAATTATAGATCATACTTACGTAGCAGATGTTCGAATACATGATTTTGTTCAAGCTGTTAGTTGTTTGTTAAGATCATACCTTAAATTGTTTGCATCTGCAGAATTTTCTGGTTTGTGATATGCGCCTTATTCCCAACATCTCAATAACTGTGCTATAAGGCATCAGCTACTGCATCATAGAAGGAAATATTCTTCTAAGAATGTAAATTTGCATCTACCATGTTCATCCATATTGAATCCTAGCTTCCTGGTCGATATCTGTCGTTTTTCGGCTCCCATAAGAGAAGTGCATGGACTGGAGTAAATGCTCAACCAGATTGCCTGGAAGTGAATAGATTCAGTAATTACATGGTCCGCTAGCTAACCCTCATTATGCGTTGAAGCCAATGTTGTACTACGCTGTTAACCGTCGTTCATGATCCTTCACTGGAGCAACTGTTTCCATGCCGTACAATAGCACTGATCTGAAGGGGCAAGGCACAAGCCTTTTTGTTGATTGTAGAAAGATACTTTTTCATCATCAAAATTATTGAGTAGAATTCCAAAAGCTCTCGAGGCTATGGTGATATTTCTATTTTACTTTGACTGGATAGTTCCATAGCTAGAGGTGATGGAGCTGAAATACTTAAGTTGGTCAACCTCCTGAAGTGCTTAACTGCCATTTTTTACTTGTTCCAAAGTGCGTCGTAACTTTAGACTTCCGGATATTAAAAGAAAGACTGGCTTTCGCAACTCTATTGCATAAGAAACTGTCAAGGGACAAAGCCCGCCCCCCCGTACCCCTCACCAGGACAGTACCATCTGCGTACTCCAGGTCAGCAAGATCTCTAGCGGGAGATTTTGAGTTGTGCTCTCTTTTTAAAATGAGACAATCGACTTTGGGGTCAGTGCTGTTTTGGAACGGTAAGTCAACAACAATATTGAATAACAAAGATAAAACACAGTATTCTAATAAATCCATGAAACATGGTCCCTACTTATATCTCTTCCAAACTAAAATCAATTTTTTCATGTATCCCATGACATTTGAACATTTTCCACATCACGGAACATCATTGTGAATTAGATACAGCCTTAAACCGAGTAACTGGTATCGTCGTCATTGTTCATTGATATCACACAGAGTGAAAATTTAATCGGGCAGGAGTACGCCATGCATTGTTCCATTCAGCTCAATGATGCAGTTTCAGTGATTGGTGTTTTGACGTTAAGGGCTGTTTAAATTTTGCTGTGACCTCGGTCTGCATATCAAAACAATTTTCATAAAGATTGGTCTTAAATTCAACACTACACGTGGGAACCGCATCCGATGGGACGTTAAGGTCGTGACCGGTTTGTGCCCATGTTTGGTTGGAAACAGAGGAGTAGAGGGTCAAGAATGATGAACGACGAAAAGTCAATGACCCTAGGGCAATAATGTCAGAGAAAACGATTTTATTATTGCCGCTTCAGTCAAACTCCCCATGCTCCACGACGTAATCAATGCTAATTTACGTCCATCTTGTGGAATATAAAAAGCGATCAAATTAAAATTTGTATAGCTGCTGTTGGCTCCTCGCCAAAAGCAATTTTTCACCATGCGGCCATATATCGGCTATTGCCGCACTACAGCCAACAGGGAACACCTGACTGTGATGGATGAAGTATTAGAAGACCACTTCGAAGCATCCTGCTTGTCATTAGAAGAAGAACGGCATGTCCAAAATTACACGAACTTGCAATCATTACCCGTTTAATGATGTTGGTCAGCCATTGCACTGCTGGAGATTCAAACCATCGGTAAGTGCACATGAACTGGCCTTGGCAATCGAGTACCAGTACAAACGGGCCGGTCGATTCTGGTAGACCATGGTTACATACGGTCTACGTAACTTCAACGGTGATACATTGTAGAAAATAAATTTCTGTTGTACGTTGTGTAATCTGTTGTTCAGTATAAAACTCTCGAGAACGAGAGTAATTCATCATGATCTTCATGTAACGACAAATCTTGAGGTCGCTGATGGAATAGACTGTATCTCAACAGACCCAGCTGTTTACAGTAGCACTAGTAAACAGTGATCCACTTGCCTACCCTTCAGCCATTACGATACCTGCGAACATCCATAATAAGCTGCTAGACGGTGGACAACGACCAAACAACAGTCCTACGGTAACCGATCTCCATATGGTTTTAAAACAAATCCGTTCAGGAAAAGGGTAATTGCCCTTAAATCCTAGACTAAACAAATAGGATCATTTACCGTGCTTATTTATAAATAAAGTTGCTTGGCTACTTATCATCTGGCGTGCCTCTCAGTTGCGGATAGAGGAACGACCTTCAGACATGGAAGTAAGCTGTGACAAATAAGCAAGGTGTGGTCGCGTTCAACCTCGCAACGTTCGATCCTCAAGAAGGTCCCAATGCCTAATGACTCATGTCTAATGTCGAGGCGCAAACGAACCGTCCGTTTGAAGAAAAATAATCTCCAATCACCGCTGCCTTGCGGCTTGACGTCGGATCGTCAAAGACTGGAAGAAACAACGTTGATAAAAACCAAACGGAATTTGGGAACCGTTCTGTGCGAAACTCTCAATGTCACCTTCAGCTCCGCCAGCCCATTAGCTATGATAGCAGAAAGTTTTCCGGCCAGAGTGATGCGTCGCCGATTACCGACCCGTCCAGGCGAATTATATAAAACGAAAGATGCTGGTAGATCTGTTGAGTGATTTAGAGGTTCTGCCGCAGCTACAAGCAAAACTCGTTGCTCCTACAAACGAGCTGCAGAAAATCACAGCTACCTTACAAGAATTTGAGTCTAATACACGGCACCTTAAGTCAGGTTACTGTTTTACATTCCTCTTTGTGCCTTCAGCCTTCTTAAGAGCAAAATGTCACGAGTCAAAACGTTATGAAAGCTCAGTAATGGAATCATTGACATGATGCACCTAATGGAGGGAGTAACTGCACAGTAGATTGATAGTTTGATCTGTACATGGTGGCCCGTTTAATCATCGCGCGTTATGAACCTCTGACAATCAGGAGAGTAGGACTCATCAAATTCAGATGTATGCTAACTGTCCCTGCACATTCGCATCCCAGGGGCACACATGGAGAACAACGCGACCAGTGAGAAACGACCTCAGCCAGAGAAGCAGATTTGGCAGTTACTCACTTCCAGGGATGACCCATTGGCGCTTGAAGTTTGATTGGTCAACTGGCGGACAACCAGGAAGAAATCGTTTAACCCTGGAAATCCATTTGCCACTTGACAGTGAGGAGCACTGCAAAAGAGGTCGTCTCTTTGCATTGATTATATTGACCACCAGGTGTGCTTTGATTCCGTAAGTTCCTGGATGAACCCGCCGCTTTATAAAACTGCAGTCGAGTGTCACGTGCGTTTTAGACTTGCGAAACGTAACTATTTGTATTAAGCCGAGAATTGAGCAGCAGTTTGTTAGCCTGGGAATAATATTATTAAAATGGTATTTGACATTGCAAATACTGATACCGGATTCGGTGGTAGTTGCCGTGGTCATGTCCAAGTTAGAACAAGAGGAACAAACGTTCTCCTCGCCTTAAACACGCAATTTGCCTCAATTCATCTCAAACCTGACCAGAAAGAGTACAGCATGTCAAGTGTAAATAAAATATAAACAATAACACCTACTAAAAACGAACTCCCCCTTGCCAATCATAGTCATATGGAAAAAAACATTAAAGCTACAACGGTTGACCGCACTCACCTGTGTATACACCAATGGGGGTGAAACGAAGTCCATGTAAGCCAGGTATCCCAACTGGCTTCGTATATCTGTGATTTCCTTGAATCAAATAGCGTTTTAAAGTGTCGACCGAAATTAACGATTTCAATACATTTACTAGCACCCTCTGTGAAAGTTCACTGCTAAGAAGACCTCGTGTTGAAGCTTGGCTTACCAGATTGGTAGCCCACTGCAGTGGTAGCCAAAACAGGTACACTTTTGATTTTGATGACAGTGCTTCTTGGATTTCCAGTTCGTGCTGAGTAAAAAATCCTAAAATAAAATAAAACAGAAAAGGATTGCCCTCCATCCAGGTGCTCACGAATTACCCGAATTCTTAACATGGTCCTTGGTAGGAAAGCGCTTCTTTACCGCCGTGCTTATGTCACGCAGTAAAAGCACGCTGGCCAGGTTAACGTAGCGCACCAGAGTCCTACGTATCAGCCGACTTTCGTAATCTAGCCCTGGGATATAGCAAGAGGTCATCAGTGCAAATCTAGAATAGCACATATCAGTTTTCAATTCTCCCTCGACTTTCGTTCAAATTTCACTCGCTGACCTGTCAGGCCATGGAATGGAAGTGAACCGCTTCCACCAGGTGGTCAGCACCCGGGAAACGTAAAAGCCGAGCAAGAAGGTCACGGGTATCAAGTCATCACTTTGACTCAGTTTGTCGACGATTATGTGGAAGGCTTGCTGCTGGCTTTCATTCAACGCATAGCGGTATAAAATATTGACAGCGTAATACAAAACCAGAAAGATTAATAAATCCTTGAGGATCATCTTGTGGATACTGCCACGCCATCGAAACAGCAGGCGAAGGAAAGTGCAAAGCGACGAGTTGGCACAGACCGACGTATACGAAACGGTCATCTCTTCGGAACAGCTGTTTTCTCTTCGTTCGACCCTTTCCTTATGTTGCAAACGGGCGTTTACATGCCAGAAGCTTCAGCTGAGCGTTGATTTCGGTCAGCTGCACTCGCACCTCAAACCGGTATGATTTTCTTGTGCCTCAAAGACAACAAGTCACTGTGCCTGCCTCTTCAAACCCCGACCAACTCTGTCACTAACTTGTTTGTGAACCGTTCCTTCGAGTTTACCCAACGCAGTGTTTATAAAGCTAAGCCGTTAGCGCAATCTGTCAGTAGTTCAGACTTCAGCGGTTGTTGACGATTCAGATCGGACTTTGTTGTCGCATTAACGACTGTACCGTTCGCTTTAAATCAGGCACTATGTAAATTCGGCGAAATCAACACCGTAATGATATGGATCATTTGTTTCAAACTACCTCAAATAAGACCGCGCTTCAGATTCGTCTCCCCGAAGAAGAATATCAGTACTATAACAGATCAGTTAGACAGAATTTTTTGGCATATCTGCTCAGGAAGACATTCAATGGTTTCGTTTTTCTGAGGAATTATGCTTTAATTTGCACCATACTCATCAACCAAGCAATTTTTTGTTCAATTGTGCGGACGATGTGATTGCAAGTCATTTCTTTTATTAAATGCTGCAAGAAAAGTTGGAAAATCTTTGCATAATGAAACATATCCTTTTAAAGTAGGTGAGCAACGACTTTCAGCGTTGGCGCCAGTGGATTTCGCCATGTGGTAAAGTCCTGTCACCTTTCAAACTCAATCTCTCAGTTTCCTCAGTGAGGTAACAGTTTAGAATTAAAATGCGAGACCTCTTTTCCTATAGCATGTGCTTATGACCTATTCCTTAAAAATCATGGATAGAAGACACTGTTGATCATCAATCGATTCTTTGGCCATATTTACATGAAGTTAAAGAGACATTGATTAGTTGTTGACTTTAGCATATAGCTGTTGAATATATGTCTCGCAGAGTTTCAGTAGTCAGGTATGCAGCAGGCAAAGACTATGTTTTCGTTGGTGAATCATCCTTATCAAATGATATCTAGCTGTTTCACAGCCATTATCAGCTTTTGCGAAGTACCGCTATGCATGATAAATTGGTTCATAGAAACAGAAACTGAATATGGCAAACAATAACAATGACACTTTTAACCCTAAGGTCAGATTTGATTGGAGTAGATTGCTAAATTCAGACTGTGCAGACTTCGTACTAGACTCAGCCACTGTTATCGACCAGTAACCTCCTCGATCATCGCTAGGGCTACCATATACCGTGCGTGCTTTTGGGGGACTGAAGCAGGTTGCTAAAAATTGGCGATTAGAAGCTCCTCATCGCCTTCTGGCAGCAGAGCATTGACGAAACAATGACGAAGATACAATCAGCAGCGGAATTGCTCTGTACGGAGGAAGCAGACAGCGCGATGCCATTATAGCACGTCAGAATGGGCTTCACAGGAAAGACACGGCCAGTGGGAGCTTAGAGCGGGAAATTGGAATATGTTCTAAGAAAGAGCAAGAGTTGGTTGATCAGTCTTCAAGATAACAACTCGACATTGATGGACTCTGGTCAACAAAACGCCAAAACACTGAAATCCTGAACCTCTGCGAGTGGAACCTACTCTATTCAAGTGTCGATATCACAACTCGTGCTCATGCCGGTGTTGGCGTTC